GCACTGCAGCCTTGCCACGGGGCAACAGTGCTGGTCCTGGCTTGTTAAGAACAGTCAATAAAACCTTAGGAAACCCAAAATCTTCTTTTCCACAAATGAATCATTTGCAAGTAAAAACGGTGGTCAGAAGAAAGAGGGGCCACTGAGTTTCATCTATGCCTCAGGAAATTATCAGCTGCTAAGAACTGGAGAATTTTGAAATCCAGCTGCCCTACTGCCACATTCAGAATATGTTTTTTCTACCAGTGATTTCGAACAGCTCACGGAAGTAATCAAAGCCTGCATATCCGCAGTGCCCACCCTACAAACACTGGCACAGAAATAACAGGACGGCTCTGCACTGCCTTTTCGCTACAGCTCTGCTCTACAGGTATCAGGTGTTCCTCTGTCCCGTGAGTCACACCATCATTCTGCCATGCTTATAAGATGTGACAGCAGCAACCAAAGATTCATTTTTTACACTTGGTCTAGCTCAACTACATTTCTCTTAGCTGTCCCCCTTTAAAAGCCTTCAATGACTGATGAATTATAGATCAAAACACACTATAGACTAACCTCTTAAAGCATCCAGCCATGCCCATTCCCACTTCTAAATGGCCAGCAGATCAGGGCAGAGGCAAGAACATGACTGTAACTTTAATTTTAATATGGTGGATATGTTTTTAGACACCCAGAAGAACTGGTAAAAGACTCCTTTCTTTTTATTACAACCTTCGAACACAACTGGGCTATCACAATTTCCCACAAAGACCACATCCTTCCCCACATGTCACCGGATGATCCAATCCCAGTACCTTAATATGGGGTATATGGAGGATTCTATTCCATGTAGTAAGCAAAGGAGACTTAACACAAGAAAATGTAAGTGAATGAAGTAAAGCTATGGAATTTGCGATTGTGACAATTTAGCAAAACATTTCATTTCTCTAAATCTTAATTTCTTCATTTATGAAATGAGTTTAGACTAGATAACGGAAATCTACTATAAGGCCAGTTCACAAAGTACTGATGAGCACAGGTTTAGCTAGAAACCACTAGTAATACACGACTGGCAGTAAAACATCTTATCTTAGAACCTGTGATAGAGGCCTTGCTGTCTGTCTCCTTGCAAAACAAAATGAAGTATATGAGATGTCCAAAATGCATTTCCAGACCTGACCAACAAGATAGATGGTGACAGGTAATATCCCCAAGATAACAACCTAGGTTGTTTCTGATTTTATTCTCCCTCACAAGAACAACGACTATTCACGGATGAGACACCAGTGAGAATTCCAGAACTTAAGAATGAGGCTGAAGCACGCCCCATAAGCCACGGAGACCAAGACAGACCACATCAGAAGGGTAAAAACAGCAGCTACACACTGATCGCACTGCCCCTCCCCCAAGCTGGCACAGCATCATGCCGAGTGGTCTTCCCTGAGTCTACAGTTCCTTCTCCAGTGGGAAAAGAGAGCCCAGGGCAGACATCCAGCTCCCCCAGCATTGTGAGTTACTTTTTAGGAGCCCGCTTCTTGTCTTACCCCATGGGGAGTGCAGGAAATTGACCACTGGAAATCTGACTGTGGCAGAGAAGGGGAGAAGAGGAGCAACAACTAGCACCAAGTTCTTGATTTCATACCTGCAGAGCCCAAGCACTCGTGTACCACATAAGGACGGTTCAGTCAATGATGGAACACAGAGATGGTGGTCCCATAGGTTATAATGGAGCTGGAAAATTCCCATCACCTAGTGATGTCATAGCCATCGTAATGTCGTAACACAATACCTTCTGACATTTGTGGTGATGCTGGTGTAAACAAACCTGATGCGCTGCCAGTCATATAAAAGTATAGCACATACAACTACAGTTGTAGGTTATACCACTAGGTTTGTGTAAGTACATTATTATGTTTGCACAACAATGAAATCGCCTAATGATGTGTTTCTCAGACAGTACCCCCATCGTTAAGCAGCTCATGTCTGTAGTTAACACCAAAGAACTGCTTTGCTCATCTGCAGAAATAAGTAGGTTGCACTGTCTGAGCAAGGAACTTAATAGGGTACAGGTCTGCATGATTTGGGTCCTCAAACTAAGAGATTGGCCAGCCCTGGAGCCTGGTCTTCCCTTGCCCGAGGCAAGTGGGGCGGTGGGGTGGGGCTGACTCTAGCCCCATCCACTGCTGAATGAGGTTCCCAGCCCCACTTAACCAGAAAAGTCCTGGCCAGAACACCTGGAAAGTTACATAGCCCACAATGCTCAGGCACAGAGTCTGGCAGGAAAAACTATTAAGTCTGCAGAGAAAATCCAGTGTCCCTGTTCAGCCAGAGAATTTAGGGCACAAGTCAGCCTGAGTCAAGATCACAGAGAGCCTTACCGGCCCTGAAGCTGGTTCTCTCACTGATCAGGGCAGGAAGCTAATTCAAAGCATCTCCAATTTAAGATATTTTATGTAAGCCTCATGGTAACCATAGGGGAAAAACCTGAAGTAATCACACAAATGATAAAGAAGTCAAAGCATACTGATCCCACAAGATATCAAAATACAAAAAAAAAAAAAAAAAGACTGCAGGATATGAAACAAGGAACAATCGATCTATAAAATAGCCAGAAAACAATAACAGCAACAGTAAATCCTTACCTATTAATAATTAAACATAAATTAAATTCTTCAATCAAAATGCAAAAAAAATATGTCTGAATCAATAAAAAACAAGATCCAAATGCCTACGTGAGACTTACTTTAGCCTTAACAACACACACAGACTGAGAGTGAAGGAATGGAAACAGATACTTCATGCAAATGGTATCCAAAGAAAGCAGGGGTAGCTATACTTAGAAAAATAAACTTTAAACTAAAAATGTTAAAAAGGGACAAAGAAGACCATTATATAGTGAAAAGTAAATCCATCATGATGTTATGACAACTATAAATATTTATGCACCCAATGTCAGAGCACCCAAATATGTAAAAAACAGAGCTAAAAGGAGAAATAAACAGCAATACAAAACAACAGTTGGGGACTTTAACACCCCAACCTCAACAATAGCTAGATCAGAGAATCAACAAGGAAACAGTGAATTTCAACAACACTACAGAGCAAACTGACCTAACAGAACATTCTATCTGATAACAGCAGAATACACATTCTTTTCAAGCACACACGGAACATTTTCTAAGATAAACCACATGTTAGGCCACAAAAACAAGTCTTAGCAAATTCAAGAAGACTGAAATCATACCAAGTATCTTCTCCGAGCACAATGGTATGAAAATAGAAATCAATAACAGGAGAAAAACTAGAAAATTCACGAATACATGGAAATTAAACAACGCTCTCCTGTACAACTTATGGATTAAAGAAAATATTAAAGGAGAAATAAAAAGTATCTTGAGAAAAATGAAAATGGAAAGAATATATCCAAACTTATGGGATATAGCAAAAGCAACTTTAAGAGGAAAGTTCATAGCAATAAACACATACATAAGAAACAAGAAAGATGTCAAACAACTTAACTCTATGTCTTAAGGAACTAGAAAAAGAACAAACTGAATCCAAAGTTAGCGGAAGGAAAGAAAGAATAAAGACCAAGAAGAACTAAATGAAACAGAATAGGAAAGATTAACAAAACTAAGAGTTGGTTCTTTGAAAAGATAAACAAAATTAACAAACCTTAGCTAGACATATTGAAGAAAAAAGGACCCAAATCAACAAAATTATGAATTAAAATGGAAACATTACAACTGATACCAAAGAAATACAAAGGATCACAAGAGGCTACTATGCTACAACTATATTCTAAAAAACTGGACAATATGGAATGAAAAAATTCTTAGAAACAAAATCTACTAAGACTGAATCAGGAAGAAACAGAAAATCTGAAGAGAACAATTACTAGTAAAGAGACTGAATCAGTAATCAAAAACCTTCCTTTGAAGAAAAGCTCTGGACCAGATGATTTCACAGGTGAATTTTACCAAACATTTAAAGAATTATGTCAATCCTTATCAAACTCTTCCAAAAAAAATCAAAGAGGAGGGAATATTCATTTTATGAGGCCTGCATTACCCTGATATTAAAGATGAAAAAGGATACTACCAGAAAACTACAGACCACTGTCCCTCATGAATATAGATGTTAAAATTCTCAACAATATACTAGGAAATGAAATTCAAAAGCACATTAAAAAGATCATTCGCCATGATCAAATGGGATTTATACCTAGGATGCAAGAATGCTTCAATGTATGCAAATCAATGTGATACATCACATTAACAGAATAAAAGTAAAAAGGTCCTATTATTTCAATAGATGTAGAAAAAGCATTTGACAAAATTCAACACCTATTCATGATAAAAATTCTTAACAAAGGGAATATACTTCAACATAATAAAGACCATACATGACAAGCCCACAGCTAATATCATTCAATGGTGAAAGGATGACGACTTTTTCTCTAAGATCAGGAACAAGGGAGCTCACTCTCATCATTCTTATTCAACATAGTACAGAAAGTCCTAACCAAAGCAATCAGGCAAGAAAAAGAAATAAAAGGTACCAGAATTGTAAAGAAGTAAAACTGTCTCTATTTCCAGATGACATGATTTTATATATAGGAAATCCTAAAGAATCCACCAAAAAACTGTTAGATCTAATCAATGAATTCAGTAAAACTGCAGCATACAAAATTAACATACAAAATCAGGAGCATTCCTAACACTAACAACTTAACTGAAAAAGAAATAAAGAAAACAATCCCATTTACAATAACATCAAAAAACAATATAAAATGCTTAGAAATAAATTTATCTAAGGAAGTAAAAGATCTCCATACTGAAAACTATAAGACATTTATGGAGGAAATCAAAGAAGACACAAATAAATAGAAAGGTATTCTGTGTTTATGGACTGAAGGTATATTCTTTATATATCCATACTACCCAAAGATATTTACAGATTCAATGCAATCCCTATCAAAATTCCAATGGCACTTCCTACAGAAGTAGAAAAAACAATCCAAAATTTAAATGAAACCACAAAAGACCCCAAAATAGCCAAAGCAATTCCAAGAAAGAAGAATAAAGCAGGAAGCATCACATTTTCTCATTTCAAGTTGTTATATTATAAAGCCAGAGTAACCTAAGGCCAGAAACCACAAAACTCCTAGAAGAAAACATAGCAAAAAAGCTTCTTGACATGGGTATTGGCAATGATTTTTACATATGACACCTACATCACAAGCGAAAAAATAAAACATAGACAAGTGAGACTACATCCAACTAAGAAGTTTCTGCACAGCAAAAAATGTTAACAAAATGAAAAGACAACGTATAGAATGGGAAAACGTATTTGCAAACCATGTATCTGATAAGGGGTTACTAACCAAAATATATAAAGAACTCATACAATTTAATAGCAAAAAAGCACTGCTATATGGGTAAAGGACCTGAATAGACTTTTCGCCAAAGAAGATACACAGATGACCAACCAGTACATTAAAAGATGTTCAATAACACTCATCATTAGGGAAATGCAAATCAAAACTATAAGATATCCCCTCATGCCTGTTAGAATGGTTGGCATCAAAAAGACAAGAGACGTGCCCAATCTCATCTGATCTCAGAAGCTAAGCAGGGTCAGACCTGGTCAGTACCTGGATGGGAGACCACCTAGGAATACCAGGTGCTATAGGCGTAAAAAAAAAAACCAATTTAAAATTTTAAAAAAATAAGACAAGAGAAAACAAATGCTGGCAAGATGTGGAAGAAAGGGGAACCCTTGTACACTGTTGGTGGAACTGTAAACTGGTACAGCCACTGTGGAAAACAATTAAAAGTAGAACCACCCTATAATCCAACAATTCCACTTCTGGAAATATAGCCAAAGAAAATGAAAACACTATGTTGAATGGATATATGCATCCTCATGCTCATAGCAGCATTATTTACAACAGCCAAGACATGGAAACAACTAAGTGTCCACTGCCAGATGAATGGATAAAGAAGATGGGGGCGGCAGCAAGCGTGCACATGATGGATTATTTAACCATAAAGGAAATCCTGCCATTTGCAACAACATGCATGGACTTTGAGGACATTATGCTAAATGAAATAAATCAGGCAGAGAAACACAACTGCAGTATGATCTCATATGTGGAATCTAAAAACAAACAAACTAACCACATTCATCGAAAAAGAGATCAAATTTGTGGTTACCAGAGGTGGGAGATGGGGAAGAGAGGAAATTAGATGATGGTGGTCAAAAGGTACAAATTTCCAGTTATAAGACAAGCACAAAGGATATAACGTACAACACAGTGACTGTAGTTAACACAAAGTTAAGAAAGTTAAGAGAGTAAATCCTAAGATTTCTCATCACAAAGAAAACAATTGTTTTATATTTATATGATGATGGATGTTAACTTATTGTGCTAATCATTTCATGATATAGGTAAGTCAAATCATTATGCTGTACACTTTAAATTTATACAGTGCTGTATTGTCAATTATATTTCAATAAAATTGGAAAAAACAACAGGATGGTAGGGCTAGATCACAAAAAGTAGGCATACTCGGAGATAAGCTAGCTCCAGGTTTTTACAGAAAACTAGTTTTATACCATAAGACATTGGTATGGTAACAAAACACCTCTGATACAAATCTACACAGGTTGAGTTTCTCATGTTCTAAATTCTTGTGGGGAGCCTCAGTTTTACATCTTCTCATGCCATGTTTTGGGGCTTAGATGTGAAAAAGAGGTAACACTGTAAATGTAGGTGAGAAGTAAATAGAAGAGATAAAAAGAACTAAAGCAGCAAAAAGGGTTCCTTGTCATCTGCACGAAACACTTACTGCTTTGGATTACCAGAATATCTTTTTTGAGAATACCAAATTTTGTCTTTATAATCCACTACAACTTTAACTTGTGACATGAGGACTATAATGATGAACCCAAAGAATCACCACAGACCATATCACAAGTATAGGTAAGGAAAATGTTTAGTTTGCCACAGAAGGCTGGAATAACCACACAGATTTCCTATAATTTACCAACAACTCTTAAGAACTCATGTATTTAATAAAGGTTCTCATGAGGTGGTGGCTCCATAGTGTAATGGTTAGCACATCTGCTTTACATGCAAAAGGTCCAGGGTTCGCGCCCCAGGTGGAGCCACGGACCATACCTCTGGTGTGCCAGGGGCGCCAGGCCCCGGGTGCACACCACGAGCACATGGGAGGAGACGCCTCGCCTTCAGAGATGCAGTTCTTAAGGGGAGACGGCAACATCCGTAGGTCAGAGTTGGAAGGGGTGGGGGGTGAGGGAAAAAAAATAGTGGCTCTCATGAGCTTGACCAGTGATGGAGAAATAAAGGAACTCTTCACCAGAAGAGCCCCATGAGGGTTGGGATATAAAGCTGATATTCAGGTTGGCAAGAAGACTCTATTCATCTTTGATAGCATGAGACTATGACTTGCAAAATCCAAGAGGCTAAATACTAATTTATCCTTTAAAAAAAAAACATTAAACATCACATGTAGTGCATCTCTATTGCTTCACTAGCAAACAAGAGGCACATTTTGTGTCCAAATGTGAAATCCGTATGCTCAGCAACATGACACAGATCACAGTCTCCAACAATATCTCAAACACACACCCTGTGTGAGTTAAAGATGGAAGCTGCTAACTACTACTGCCAAGAAGGAGAAAATTGAATTTACTAACTTCTTAGAACTCCTTCTACAATGATTTTATTATAAATATGTTCTTTTGGAATAAATGAATATTGCATTCAAGACTATTCGCAAACTTGTTCTGAAGTAATAAAAGAGAAAAAATAGAACCAGGAACCACTGAAAAGTAGAGATAAATAGCAAAGACACCTGCATGCCGTGCTAAGTGACTTTCCTCCAAGAAGTAACGGAGGTTAACAGGGAATATCACATTTCTCATTAGCCTATTCAATTAAAATAAGCTTTGAGTTTGGTAATTTGCATTTGTTCTGTAAACTGAACTGCTTTTTTCCTCAGTCCTAAGCAGCAGAATGGGAAGACAGTCAGTCTTCAGATCCCAGTATCAACAAGAAAGATCTTGACTTTTTATGTGTAACTCTTTGCTCACCTACAAAACTGTTCACTGTTTGCCAGGAGCAACATCAGAATAGTCCTGCAGCACCCCAGCCAGGTGTTCATTATGAGTCTTAAACCGTCGCTTCTTCTGTGAAGCAGGCTTTTTCCTTCTCTGAATAGGGGCCTGCAGGAAAAGGTAAAAAAAAAAAAAAAGCTACTCAGAGGGATAATGTGGTAAAGAATAACTAAGGATGCCCAGAAACCAGCAGCAAAGAGATGTGGCAACGACCTGTTTTTTTGCTATGTAGTCCAGCTCCATACACACCATTCCACAGCACACTCCCAACTGAAAATAAGAACCAGTGTTTTCTGTTATGGAGACGTGCATACCTCCACCAGGAATAAATGGGCTGGCACAAAAACATATCAGAACTATTCCAGGCACTAAGTGGATAATAAGAGAGGTGGTAAAGCTCTTTATTTTTCATCATTATTATCTGGTCTAAAAATATATCTATCATTAACTAATAAAAAAAGACCTCATGTAAATAGGGCTCAACATAGAAATATGGCAAAACTGGGAAGTGGATGGGCACATGAAGATTTGTTACTGTTCTGTATTCTTTTCAGTATACCTGAAATATTAATGCATGATAAAATCAACAAGCTAAACAATGACAGGAAACCATAAAGTGCTGCAATTACACTAATTCATGGAGATCACTGGCAATAAACCTTCCATTTTAAGGAGTCCTAAAAAATTCACTGAATCTCTCTCTCTCTCTCTCATACACACACACGAAAAATCGGAAAAGGTAAGTTACACCGCCTGATGGTGAACATGGAAAAGAAAGAAAGAGGTACAGCAGCTAGACTCTAGAGTGGCTGGTGAATTATTCCTCATTCAGGCTTTGTCCTTAGACTAACAGTTGATTAGCTTGTACAAGGCAATTTACAAGTCTTCATTCCATTACAAATCCCTCATCTGAGCAGGATTTGGGGCTACGAGGACAGTATGTGGTTCCTAAGGGATCAGGGCTAAGGAAGACCTGGGCACCAAGACTACTGGGCTCACTGGAGCAAGGGGGAGGGGAGCACAACTAAAGCCTTAAAGGCCAAGATGACAAAGCAGGCTCCTGGTTAGAGACTGGGAGGCCAACATGTGGGCAGCAGGAGAAATTCAGTATGGCTGGAGATTGAGAGTAGCCACTGCCAGGACTGGGGCTGGATGGCAAAAACTCTCTCGTGCCTGGGGAGCAGCACTGAGGGCACAGAGATCTTCTGGCTCTCAATAAACCCTACATGATCTGGTTTGCAACTGACCAAGATGAATGGATTAGGACACAGAAAAAACTAGAAGAGAGAACTGACAACCTGCTCTTAAAAGAGAATAAAAAGCAGGCAAACAGTTTATAAAGAACAGAGGATTACATTTTTTTCTAGCAATTACATACCACCTTCTTTGGTCCAGACTCCTGCATAGAAGAAATACCCTGTCGCTTCAGATATTCTTCAATTTTCTCCTCGTCCATTGAATCCACAGTGACACTCCTCCACAGTTTCTGAAACTCTATGCCAACAAGATGATAGTTATTTTACAATAGGTGTTTACAAGCAACAACATCTCAGAGATCAAAATCCAGGCTTCAATATTATCTCCTCTGGTTGACATTAGCACAACTGAGATTTCATTATAAAAACAAAGGAAGTAAGACATCAACATTCAAGGGCCTGAGAACACGAACTGCAACTGCATCATTACATGCCACATCGGTAGTATTCTATTTTTAGTCTAGTAAATGAAGGACCATATGCTTAAAGCCTCTCTGCTTTCCTGAGAACAAAGGCAGTCGACACTCTCCTTTTATTCCAAAAATCAGTTCTCTCCATCGAGATAGTTCAAATTCCTGCTCATCTCTCCTGAGCTCAGTATACTCCACTTTCTCTTCTATTGGTAAGAACACACACACAGGGAGATGGGGAACCAAAGTTTTATACTGGAATGAGGAGCTGTGACAGTTTATAGGTGACCCTTGAACAACAAGTGTTTGAACTGCACAGGTCCAATTATACACAAATTTTTTTAAATAAACATATTTAAAAAAAATTTGGAGATCTGCAACAATTTGAAAAAAACTCGCAGATAAACCTTACGATTTTAATAACATTTTCTTTTCTCTAGCTTATTTTATTGTAAGAATATAGTATATAACACATACAACATACAAAATACGTGTTAACTGACTGCTTTTGTTATCAATAAGGCTTCCAGTCAATAGTAGGCTATTAGTACTTAAGTTTGGGGGGAGTCAAAAGTTACACTCAGCTTTTCGACTGTGTGGGTATTGGCGCTCCTAGTTCCCACGTTGTTCTAACGTCAAGTAAAATTATCCCAGTTCACATGTAGTGTAAAGATGTGCTTTTCCTTGTTTTTTACCCCACATTTTTTTGAAAGCAGCATATCATCTTCTGTAGGACAGTTGAGACTAAGGTAAATAGTTTTCATGCCTGGAGATATGGACACACCTTTCCTTCTCCTAGGCCTTTTAGCATGTGGAGGGGGGTCATTCTACTGTTAGGACAAGAGCTTGGTTTGGAATCTGTTGCTGCTATGGTTACCCATAATGCACCACAGGCTTCAAATTCCTCTAGCCATACCTGTGCTTAGGGTAGAGGCTCATTTGGCAGAAGGTTTTTCTCAGTGTTTGCTCAACCTGTGGTTTTACGTCTTCCTTTCATGCTCCACTTAGGATGGTCTGTCTGCTTCTATGCTCTTGTGCCTCTTGGATTCCACTGTTACTTGTTAATCAACATCTGTTAGCCTGGTATGGGGGCAAGAGTTCTCTGATATTCTGATTAAGCCTCCATCTTAGGAAAGCGCTGTGTTCCCTGGTGTCTGGGGATCAGCCTTCTCAAATGTTCCTGCTCTGCCTCCTCTGCTAAAGTTCTGGACCCGACACATATTCCTGGCCCTTTCTTGGGGGTAGAAGATTTTCTTTCTGTTCCCTTCTCACAGCAATTTAAGACTTTTGTCTAAAAGAAGGAGGTGAGGAGAAAGATTTAGACAGAGTTTTATGTCCTTCCTGAAGCATCTACTGTTCCCCATCCCCAGACCCATCCAACAAGGGCAGTATCCCCAGCCCAAGCCTCTGTCTTTTTTTTGTAAGTATCCACTGAAGTCTATAGAGATGGGTACAAATTCCCATGTGTCTGCAGCCCCCGGGAGTTCTATATTCTCTTGCTAGTCCACACTAAGCCTTTAGCAGTTCATTAAAAAATTCAGCTGAATACTCTGAGAGGTGTTCATTTTGTCTGTCCTGGGTAAACAAGAGCTTCCATCTCATCTTTTCTTAGAGGTAGCTAGCTGTCTTTCCTTAGATTTCAGGATAGGTGGTGGCCCTGCAACCTCAGCTCTCTGATAGGTTCAAGAAAACTATAAGTTTGCAGCTATATACAGTTTACTGTTGTTGTAAGGGTGGGAACAATGCTTTTTCCAGCTTTCTCCATTCTAAGTGAAAGTCAGAAGTTGCCAACTACCTACTTTTTATCCAAACTTTAAGAACAATATGATTAATGTAACTAGTTTTGTTCACTGTGAGTATATGAGAGAGAAAATAGCTTCAGGTTGAACTTCCAAGTCAGCAATAAAAACATTCCTCTAATTCCAAGAAAGCACACAAAATTGTTTTAAAATGTATACCATAACCAGAATTTTACGCGTCAGATTTACCATAGCTATTGAAGGAAGTGTGTCACATATACAAAAAAAAATAGTTCTGGTATTTTAACCAGATTTGTTAAATTATATGAACATGTAAAAATTGTATTCATTAATTAGAATTAAGTGTTAAACGACATAACTGAATACTAATTAAGCTGTATACTTTTCTCCACATAATGAAAAAGGTAGAGAATAAAAGTGCGTATGATAAAAACACCTTTTACTCAGTGGTAAATTTTATTCAGTACACTTTTTACCAAGCCTCTGTTACCAGCATTGCAAAATTTCAGTTCCTTGAAAACTGAAACTACTTTGACTTTCTACTTGATATGTACAGAGCTTATATACATACTTTAGGCCTCTTATAACATATTACGAAGGCAATAATACCTACTAGAATAGTGACAGCAATGGTCTGGAAAGATAATCTGTATATTAATATACCACCAAAAAATATATACAACACTATAAATTTTCATGGCACAATGGAAATGCAAGTATATTAAAACAAAATTTAACTCTCTTTTGCTAAAAGAAATGTCACTGGAACTATTTTCAGAGGAAAAATCCCTAAATAAAACATTTCTACTTTAATCCTTGCCCCTCCCAATAAAACATTTCTACTTTAATCCTTGCCTTTCCTTAGCTCAATGCTGCTGCAGCATTTAAATATTACATCTACTACATAAATGTATTACCACTGCATAAATACTTAAGATGAACACTAGAAGGCAAGGCCTAATTTTAGAGGCAAGATCTCACAGGATACCAAGTCTAATTACTTTTTAATGTATGTGAGGAAAGAAAATGCTTGGCTGACAGAAGTACTAAGAGAAATAATTTGGTTTTAATTTCATAAAAATCACTGCAAGAAAATATAAAATAAAAAAATAATCTTTATTTTATATGAGGCTGGCAAAGTCAACTAAAAACATCCAGTACTGGTTTGAATAAAGAAATTGATACCTTCTCCACAAATACAGAGGACAACTGGTGACAGCCAGAGGGGAGGGGAGTTGGAGGGCTGGGAGAATGGGGCAAAAAGTTAAAGAAGTACAGATTAGTAGTTGATAGATTGTCACAGGAATGGGGAGCACGGCATAGGGAATGCAGTTAGCATTAATGTAAGGGCTACATGGAGAGCCAGAGGAGAGAAAGAGCAATTAGGGGGATCATTTTATAAACTATATAAATGTCTAACCAATGTACTGTATACTTGAAACTAATAATAAAATTAAGTTTTTTTTTAAAAAAAAGAAAGAAAAATGGATACCTTCTCATATACTGCTGTGAAGGGATAAACTGGTCCAAAGAATTGGTTCGAACTTTACAATAAATATTAGGCAAACTGTTGAATATTTTTTAAATATGCCTTGTTTCTACCCAACAATTCTAAAGAAAACTACAATAAGGAGATAATCAGACAAGTGAGCACATATTTATGTGCAAGAATAGAGTATTCTTTATAATAGCATATAGAAAAAATTTTTTTAAAACTACATTTCTATCTGCGGAACATCAGAAAAATTGTTTTCAAGTATATCCATATACTTGGATATATAGTGGAACACCATATAGCCATTAAAAAATAATGACCCAAAACAGCATCAAAGCCCAGGAAAGTAGCTACTGGGAGGAGTCCTGAATTCTAAGGATAAAGTTGAAATTATTTAACTTTCCAGGCAGAAAAGAACAAGTTACAAGCAACAGGGGAAAAGTCAGACTGTCATTGGATTTATTACCACCAACAAATATAATGTAACTGCAAAAGTTCAGTAGAAATGTAGCCTCAGACTGTAAAAGTTGTTCTGTTTCTTTTCTAACTAAATGCAAAACTACAGACTCACTGAGTCAATCATGAGACAGCTCAGTAAATGTAAATAAGTTACAAGATAAGTAAGATTAAAACACAGTATTTTGGTACTATTTTATATTTTCAATTCTACTAATAAGAGCTAACATTACTGTTACCATTATTCTATGTGCCAAGTTCTGTTCCAAGTTCTAAGCACTTTTATTATATTAACTCGTTTAATCCTTGTAAGGACCATGAGGTACAAATACCATTATTCCTATTTTACAGATGAGAAATCTCAGAGAAGGGTTAAGTATCTTGCCTAAGCTAGTCAGGAGCAGAGCTAAGATTTAAAATTACAGTTTGACTACTCAGACATCCTCTTGACCACTGCATTTATATTACCTCTAAATGAATAAGATCCTGACTTAAGGAAACATTAAATGCCTTTGTGAAATAAGATGTATACCTATGTCCAGGTACTCTGTGTCCACTTATCGATTTGGTTTTTTAAACTGCTTTATAATAAATTCTTTCCTTATTTGTGTTATGTCTCATTTTAGGACATTTCTTTCTATTATAGATAGAATAAAGGATGAATTTTCAGTGGCTGAAAGCTTGCCCACATATTTCTTTCTGATGGCTAAAACTGCCACCTAGTGGACTAAAACAAAAATCTTTATCAATATGATCGACAGTAAATACAAAAAAGAAGTCAAAAAGAAAGAAAAAAAGATCAACATTAAGATATACATTAATTTCCAATGGTCTTCTATGGAAATACACATGATTTACATGATTAACAAAAACTAAGTTTTTTAAAATCAGTGATTTATAGAATACTAACATTTTCAACTAAAAGAACAATGCCTTACTCCTGAGGTTCCTGTGGGTAACTGTTCTTCCCAGGGCCTAACAGCACTATTTGAACACCACAATGACAATATGTGGCATGTTGTACTATATGTCTTCCCATGTCACTCATTCCCCAGCCTGTAAGCTCAAGGACAGAAACCTTATTCACTTTGATATCCCTTGTATCAATGAATGTGCT